CAAACAAAAAACAAGTATATTGATATTAATGACAAAAAACTTACGTCGGTGTGCAACAACGAGATGATACTGCGGACATCGCGTGAACAAGTGTTCTGCAGTCTCCACGTTGCCGCATCTTCTGCAAACCGACTGGCGCGTACACCACAACTCCTGAAGAGCATCCGCCAGCCTGTACACCTCTCTCGTGTCCGCAAGAAATAGTGAAGAATGCCACACACGCTTGGTCGCTGTTTCCTCCACAATGCAGCCGGACGTTTCACACTTCCTCTTCACAAAGTATTCCAACGAGACTGTGGGCATTATCATCTGCGCGGTGCTTTTCTCTAGTTGCTGAAAAGAAAAAAGCCAATTCATTATGTTGTATGCATGTAGAATGACTGAGAAAAATGTTAAAAAAAGACAATCGGCGCTCACCTCGAACAAGAAGTAGAGAACGTCGCGCATGTCCTGCTGTCCGTGATGCAGATGGGAGGGCAACGACTTACGAAGACGTTGAACAGACGTCTGTCTTCGTTGGAACACCTCACTTAACTCATACCACGGACGAAGTGCCGCTCCAATCGCCTTCTCATCGTCCGCATACGGACGAATGATGACTTCTTTCCGCAAAGATGCACAACTGAAGAGCACGTTGACTGCGGTGTTGACAAAACACTCCGTCCCTGACGCGTTCGACAATAGGAGATACGGAACGGACAGCGATCCTTGGTGCTTCTCAATCGCTTCCAACAACATTTTATCCGATCGATCTATTTGCGGCAAATCGTTGACAAGAAGATCGTCATTCCAGACCATATCAACTATCGGCGCCGAATTGTTCTTCTCGCGACTTGTCGATGGTGATGATGGTGCTGTCTTGAACGCTTCCTCCCCGCTTTCGTCGTCGTCCAAATCCGCGAACATCTCGTTTCGAAGATCACGGAAGTCGTCGATCACTTTCCGTCGATGCTCATCTTGCTCCAATTTTGTTTGCGAATTCAATCTCTTTCGCGTCTTCGTAACAAAAACGAAGAGGTTGAGTCCTTTCATCTTGAGGCTCGCATTCCGCACCGTGCTGTGTCCACCATCTTCCGATACAATCCAACCCGATTTCGGGCTTCGGTACCACACAACCGGCAGTTCCAAGGAAACGGGAGCAGCGAGTTGAATTGCACCGATCAGCAGAAAACGATTTCTGCCAATAGGCACAGGATCGCTTTTCATCGAATCATAGCTCGAATTCCGATTCAACTGGCCGACCAACAAGTATTTCGCGTCGTCACCGCACTCCTCCGTTTCCAACAGCTCACCACAACACTGCATACCGTCAATCAGTTTTGCGCATTGCATCGTAATTTGACGAGCTCTTGAACAATGTTGTTGAACAGCAACGTGCAGCGGTCCGCTCGAATTGTCCTCATTGTCATCGAGCCAAATAATGTTGCGGAATCGTGTGACGAACTGTTTGTCTCGACAACGAGAACACTGCGACATCACGGCCGACTTTCGGCTGAACCAATTGTGGAGCTTCGACGGTAGAATCTAAAATAATGAAAATGAAAAAAGGGATAGATAGATAGACTGACTGACAAACACACACACACACACACACACACACACACATACACATACCTCCAATACGCCTTCGATTACTTCTTGCGAACGAGGACGATTTGACAAACATCGGCTCAGATCAGACACGTTGTCAGACAAAAGTCTGAGACAAAGACGAATGTTCATAAGAGCGATACTGTCGTCTTCGTCAGCGCCTTCCGCATTCAAAAAGAGCGGTACCATCTGTTCGTGCAGATCCTCCATCATCGCAATCATGTGAACGGCCGCAATGATAGTACTCTCCATCGCGGAGTCTTGCGTATCGGCACAACTGATGGAGTGCTTGAGACGCGGCATGATCGAGCGAATATCGTTATCTGTTTTTCGAATGGTGTGCGTAACACGTTGAGCACGAGGCAAATCTTGATCAGACAATGACTTCGACGACTCCGGCAGCTGCGACGATGGCTCATCTGCAGGACATGGTCTCGCGGCGACATCTCTCTTTTTGTTGTGCACCATCTTTTTGGCGCTGTCACCAAGAAAATCGAGTCCAATAGAACGACGCAAACGATTCGCCTCGTCCAAAGCACGCTGGTTGTGGAAAATCTTGTCTTGATCGAATCCGGCAAAATGGAGGCCTTTCATACATGTGACACGGCTCACCGCCACATAGAACATTCCTCCATCAAAAATGTGTTTCGGTTTAATAAACACATTTTTGAGAGTCAGGCCCTGCGACTTGTGAATTGACGCAGCGTAGGCAAGAACGAGCGGAAATTGTCTTCTCGACATGATGTCATCTCCTCGCATGTAGAACGTCTGCTGCTCACAGATGGGAATCTCGAACGGCGGATTTCCATCCCACCTAAAATATACAGTGTTTGTTTGGCAAAAAAAAATCAAAACTATGTCTTACTTGATGTAAATCCAACTTGGACGCCGCTTCACTTCGTCCATCACTATCCTCTTGACGACACCTGTAGCACCGTTGACGAGCCGTAGCGCTATATCAATATTTCGTCGCAACATCACTCGTGCGCCGACAGCAATTCGAAGACGGTAGGGAAGACCAGATTTCATCTTTTTCTGATCGTCCTCAACAATCTTCGGTACACCACCCTGCTGAATACCTCGACTGCTAGTCTTCTTCACCTCGATCGGCCTTCTTTTCCATGGTTTCGGACCGGTCCGTCTGCTTACTTTGCGTCGCAGAAATTCAGAGGCATCTGCTTCGACTTCATCTTCCGCCAAAATTTCGATAGTTTCCATTTTCATCAGCTCAATAATCGTCGCGTTCATTCGATTTACTTCTTCGTTCGTCGGATACAGCGCCATCGCGCACTCATCGGTTTTCAACAACTTCAAAAAATACTCGCCCTCTTCGTTCACCGTTGGATCAGCAGGCACTTTTGCCGGAATCATACGCGTCATAAGAAGATCGATATCGTCCGACGTATGTGCACCACACCGAATTCGGTACAACATGTTCGCCATCTCCAATTCCTCTTTTTGGCGCATGTTCTCGACAAGCTCACGATACGCAAAGTTATCTTTCCACAAATTCACGTGTACTGGCATCGACGAAAACACTCGATGTATCTCCTGCGGCGGAACTTCTGGAAAATGGTTTTATTTTTTCGTTCCTCTCTATTTTGCAATCAATCCTCAACTTACTCTCGAATGCGTGTAGGGCACGTACTGGCGGCAGTTGAAGAAGATCTCCGAACAGCAGTACGTTGAATCCACCGAACACATTAGTGCCGCCACCATCTTGTATGTTGCTGATCTCTTTCAAACGCCGGTGAATCTTCATCAGAAGGATGTTCGACACCATAGAAACTTCATCTATTATAATGAGCTTCGCGCTAGAGAACAAAAATCTGACTTGGTCAAATTTCGCGCCAAGCTCCTCATACTCATCTTCTCTCCTTTGTTGCGAAACTGTCAGACTAAACAGTGAGTGGATCGTGTTTCCACCAATCGAGAGCGCCGCTATGCCCGTCGGAGCCGCAATGAGAACACTTGGTCGAAGACCAGTACTACCTGCTGGCGAGTAGCGCGCTGTCAGCCCGTCCGCTATCACTTTTATCAAAAATGATTTTCCGGAACCCGCCGTTCCGCTGACAAACATGAGCAACGGCTCAGCACGTACAACACGCGTCTTCCGATCCGCAGATTTCGTCGTGATCTCCTTGTTGTAGGCGTCGATCTCCGCATTCTCCCGATCTGCTTCTGCTTGCTCGGCTACTCGACGACAGACAAGATCAAAAATCTCCTGAAAATAGTTTGTGACTATAATATATTATTAACTACTCATGCAACATGAACAACCAACCTTCTGAACTTTGTTCAGCTGCTGAACATCTGTCTTGTGCTGGTTTTCATCCACTTCGCGACTCTGGATTTCCAGATTTTCAACTGCGTCTTCGTCGATCTCGAGTCGATCTTTGATAATCTTCAGGTAGTCGTTTCGATCGGCGAACTCCGCTTCTTCTCGCATCAGTGCCACGTAGCCGGATATCATTAGATCGAGATCGGCTCTACCCAGTGGATGCTTCTGTTTCAACTCCTTCAGATACTTCTGCCATACTTCCTCATAAGTGTCCACACCGTACCGATTGAGGATGACGTCCTCAACACGCCACGGAACGAAAACAATAACGAGACGGCGAAAATACTCGTCAGTTCGCTCCGATCCCGGCTTGCCCATTGGCGTCATGTGAAAGCGTCCCAACTGAAATGATAATGATGATGGTAAACAAGGGAAAAAAAGAAACCAAAAAAACGGTTGATAAACAAACCTTTTGTTTAACTTTTCGCATAAATTTGAGCCGACACTGTGGAATCGGAATTTTGTCGCCTGCCTTTATTTCCGGATGACAATAGAACGGGCTCCCTTTATCATAGTAGTGATAGCGAGTTCCCTCCTTTCCACCATCGCCTGTCGACAACACATCATCGTCGTTTTCGCTCCACAATTGTGCCATCCCCATTCCGTCACTATGTTCTTCGTCTTCATCCTCATCGCTCGACAACCGATTGCGTCGAGTAGTTGACTCTGAAAAAAAGCAATTATATATATATATATAATGAAAAAAATATTAACGACAAATACCTTTCTTACACGTAACAATCTCAAAGTTGGTCATCATGTTATAGAGCGAAAATTCTTCGAACTGCCGTGGACGATGTGGAATGTAATCGTCCAACCAGTTACTTTCCGTTAGTCGACCACGACTTTTGCCAAGTCGTTCTTGTGGAATAAGCACACGTAGTCTATCACTACTCGGATCATTCGGAATGAAGACGTGAGCACAATCCGAAACAAACAGTGGATGCGACAAAAGATCATCCATTATCTCAAGCATTCCGAGTTCTCTCTGCTCGAGCATATTGTAAGCGATCTTCCAGACGAGGTCCGACTGCTTCATGCCTTCCATCGCCATCCGTGTTATCGAATTGTCCTCGGCCCGCTTTGCCTTCTCACCCTTTGTCGTGTAACCAGTAGCATAGCCCAAGATATTTTTGATTCCTTCGGGAATAAACTGTGCATCCACGTTTCCGTCCCACGTGAGAAGCATTCCCGGCGAGTAATCATTTATCATCGTTTCCTCCTTCTTCCTCGCCAAATGGTAGGGTCTATCACGCAGTCCACATCCCATCTTCTTTGCCGTTCGATCACCAACAAAAAATATTGTTCGTCGGCATACTGCAAAACGAAAAACAAAATTAATAGACTCATTTTCAAACTAACCCAATCTTGGGAATCCGAACCGGCACACTTCTGTCGTCCAACGACCATTGATTTTCCGACGTCGCCGGCACGTCTTCGAGTGCGTCGGCCAGTGCATCTGGTTATTCTTGACAGCCGCATAAAGCTCGGGTTCCGTTTTCGCGTCCGGCATACGACAAGTCACATATTTGTCGAGAAACGCCTCGACTTCGGCAGCACTTGCATCAGCTCGTGGTCGATCTTTTGTCCAAAACAGACAATGCACATGCTGAGTGCCGCGATGTTGATATTCCACGCGATAGAAGTAATGCGTGACTACACCGAGCGGACCACCATCCGATCGCAACATCACTTCTGCCATAAAGTTCTTAATGCGATTGCGCCAATAACGAGCAAAAATTCCAGGATCTCGAGCGATCGCTTCATCAATCGACTTCTCGTCCACATCGGTCGTTCCGTTAATGCGATTATAGAGCGCATGAAGATCGGTCCACTTTGTCACGTTCGGGTTGAGTGTCACGAACCATGTCGGTGTACCATGAATGGCTGCCGACGAACGCACCTCAAACTTGACCGACTTCCAATACGGCGGATATCCACGCATTTTGTGAAACATGGACATCATCAACTTTTGACTCGCTTCGCTTTCCGGATCAAACTGTTCCGACCGATGAACTCCATTAACTCGCGCCATGACACCTGAAAAAGAAAAATTTTCAGAAACAACACTACAAACAAAAACGACGCTTCAACAAACCTTGAACTGATGTGACAGCAATTTGCTGCTTATAGGCGAACATAAAACATGTCCATTTGTGGTCGACCGCAAATCTTCTGTTCGCATTCAGGAGCCTAGTTCGAATGTACTTCGTGAGGCGCGTTTTAGGCAGTCGCATCGCGTGCATTCCATCATCGCCAAACGGATGCTTCACCGGAAACACCTCCATGTCGAGATTGGCTGTGCTGATCTTTTTCGGCGCATACACATTTTTCCTGAGTGTATACTTTGCCGCTGCCGTCTCTTTGTCTCTCGCCTGATTGATTCGCCTCATTGGCTGAACCGAAACCATGTCCTGCGTGAGAAGATGCATGCCGTCGACGGTCGGTATCGAACGAGTGATGAGCTGGTCCGCATCGGCTTGTGTAGCGAACGGTTTTTGGAAAGTAACCGATTTTCCGATGTTAAACTTAAAGTTTTTGTCAATTGTGACGTCGGCATACAACGGATTGTTCGCTTTCAAAAACTCCAACGCTGTCACAACTTTCGGAAGACTCACGATGTACGTCTTATTCCAATCGGTTCGCACGTTGATCAAAAGATTCGATTCCGACGGAAGAGTGGTGACGACTCGATCAAATGTCGCTTCAATGTCGGTCGGAACCACTACCATAACCGCGTTTGATGACCTCATTCTCGTCTTACGCTCAGTGATCGAATGCAGAAAGAGTATCTTTTGCAGCGGTCGCGACTTTTCGATGAGCATCTTCTCAATTGCGTTCAAACAGCTCAACTCCTTACATTCAACGTCGGGAGCAAAATTGTTGAGCATTGCCGCTGCCGGTAATGTCGGATTCCTTCGTCTCGACATCGACTTTCTACACATTACACAACATTGAATCTTTTTCTTCTGTACCTTCTTCTTCTTCTTCTTATTCTTCTTCTTCTTATTCTTCTTCTTCTTCTTTTTTTTATCCTCTTCCTTCTTCACCTTTATCTTCTTCTTCTTCTTTTTCAATGATGACGACGAAGACGACGGCGACGACGACGGCGACGACGACAATGATGATGATGATGACGATGAGGAGGGGTCGAGAAACTGCTCAAACTTTGAAAACGGATACGTTGAAATGTACTTCGACGATGTTAGCTGGTTGCATACTTCACAAACGCGATCCTCTTGAACAAGCATTGCTTCCTTGAACTGCGAGATCATCTTCGAAAAATTCCGCGTCACAACAGCTTGAGTGTGATGAAGCTGAGAACGTGGAGCAGCGTACTCGGACAAGAAAGTTTCTCTGAGGTTGTCGTCGAGAGCAGAAAGACGAAGCAACGACTCCATATGCAAATAATTTTCACTGCTAACCGCCTCCAAGCATAACTGCACCAAACGTATGAGACGAGCACGGTCACGAAATCGTTTCTTCAAAGTCCGGATCCCCTGATAGCAGAGTTCGTATTTTTCCATCCATTTTCCAACACTCAGGTTTTCTCCCATCCACACGTAGTGCTGTGACTGAACGTCGAATTCGCTGGCAAATCCTTCAACACAAAGCGCACATTTGCGCATTGCGATACGCACCACTGCAGCTTCATCAGCACACATTGCCGGACAATCAGAATCACACGGTCTCGCAAAAGTAGTGTAGGCAAGAATAGTGACAGCAATATCGTCATCTTCCCGTAACACTCGCGTCGCTTGGTGTCCATACTCGCCGACAAGCGCTTCTTTCAGATCGGTCGGATCGATATAAGGCGGTAACAATGGCATTGGTTCCGATTCGGCTGCTGCTTTCCGAGCCGCAATTGCTCTTTGTTGTTTTGAAAGATAACAATTCAAGTTGAGCGGCTCAAAAAGATCCTTGTCACCTTCGGCCGCAGATATGACCATAGGCTCAATGCACGTCGCAATTTCTTCCACGCCTTCATCTTCTGTTGTCACCGCCTCCTCCTCATCATGATGATCTTCCACTGCTGCTGGTGCTGCTTTCACTGCTACTTCTTCTTCCGCTGCTACTTCTTCTTCCGCTGCTACTTCTTCATCCGCTGCTACTTCTTCTTCCGCTGCTGTTGCCGCCACCACCACCACTTCTTCCCCTTTCTTCGACTCTGCACCTTTGCTCTCTTCTCCTTCTTTCTTGACATCGGTTGCTGACGCGGTCGCCTTCGTCGACTCGTCATATCCCATGAATTCCGGCCAAATCTTGAAATACACCTCATTGACAGTTCCATATTTCTTTCCATCATCCTCCTTCGGTTTCATATGAATTGGAAAACGGCACACTTGACGTCGCTTCTGCTCGACATCAGACATATCTTTCGGACCACCAATCGTAGCATCCAAGTGTTTGATGATTCGTTTCGACAGCACATCAGCGTATTTCTTGCAAAAATCCATCAGCACTGTCATGCCTTCCATGAGATGTTTCTTATCGAATCTTTTCTTTTTGCTCAGTGACCAAAAAGCTCTGGAAAAAAACATTTTAAAAAAGTGTTGTGAAATAGTGGATTCCTACTTTTTCGCTTTGTCTCTTGCCATCGACAGTTTAATTTGTATCCGTTCTCCTTTTGTTTTTAATGAACTCAAATTTGTCATCGGTTGAAGGTTTTTTGAAGTACTATCCCTCAACACTGAATCGTGCTCCGCACTCGATGAACTAGTTGAAATGCGAAGGCCGGCGAGCTCAGGGGTCTGAAAAAATGAAAAAATTATTTGAAACAATGCAAAATTCCACAACACATACCTGTGACTTACGCTCACTGGCGTTCCTCTCTTTCCTTATCGACGGCGTCACAACATGAGCGACAACTGGGACCACAGAACTATCGTCTTTCGAAGATGACGACTGCATAATAATATTCTCATTGGCATTCTTCGTTTTTGTTATCGCATCATCCGGAGCCTTCCAACGTTCTTGCGCACCGATCTTTCCCTTGTCCGCCATCTTCCCGGTTTTCTTCCCATGCCACAAATTCGATAATTTTCTCTTTACACCATTCGAGCAAGGAGGCTGAAAAAATGGAATACACAATCATGAAACAAAAAGAATAGTAAAAACATTTGAAACACGAAAACAGCACTTACTGATATGATCTGGAGATCCTCGCTTCTATCGCTACAAACCTTCTTGATCGGAGGAATCTCACGCGGCTCAACTTCATGACTACTGGAAGGACGTTTCCTGTGCACAATACGTCCCATATCAGTCAAATCACGCGAGGCAATCGCCGACAGCTCCACTCGCAACAACAAGCGCTGCGTGTTGATCTCCTCCCGGTCACGAATCGTTTCAAATATTATTTTGGAAAGCTGAACCATCGACGGAACGACTTCGTCTGATTGCATAATGCATTGAGCATTGAGAATAGTTTGAATGCCACAGTCATTCTCTACTTGTCTCGGAATCTGAGCCTCAGTAGCGCGGGTAACTCTGATGTCGCCGACAGATTGGAACAGGCCTTTTGCAATACACTTTAAATCGACGTCGAAAGTGTATGCGTTTCCGCCGAACGTCGAATCTAATACAAGAACCGAAACATCTCCACTTGTTTGTTTCGCCATATAAACAAGGAAGAAATGACGGTTCATGTAGACAGGCAATAGGTAACGCCGTACGGATGGATGAGAGAAGCAAGCTGTTCTTTCAAAGGACTCCGTGAAGTTATCGGATGCGAGAAAACGCTGAACAAACTCCGGATGGAGTAATCCGATCGAATCCTTCCATTCCTTGTCATCGTTAAACTCACCAACCTAAAGCACAAAAACGTGTATTATAAAATTATTCAGCCATCTCAAAAAAATGGGGAGGGGGACACTAAAAAAATTAAATTTTTAAAAAAACTAACTCTTTTATACAGTACACGGAAGAGAGCTTGAGCCGACAGCAAACTCTCCATATTCTCATCAGTTCCAGCAGATCTCACATCTTCTTCATCCAGGACAAAAATCAAATCGACCCCTACCTCACGATCGGCGGACGTTAACTGTGGTCCGAAAATACCCTGCAAAA